CCCAGCGGTGTGCACCCTCCCCTTCTTGCCATCCGTCACACTCGGTTTTGAATTTTTTCAGAGCTCAGGCGGTCGCTGCATATTATTCCTTCTACGGTCTAACTTTGTGGCGGACCATAGAAAGCCCAGGTGCAGCCCACCCTGCTGTGGAATACCATACATTATTCTGTATTTTTAGGTTTCTGCCACGCGAATAGCTAGACCGCGGTGAGCTCCCCTTCTTGCCAGCCGTCACACTCGGTTTTGAACTTCAGTGCTCAGGCAGTCGCTGCATATTGCGACTGCGTTTGAAGGACAAAAGTCAGGAATCCCACTTGGGTAAGTCATTCTTGGAGCTTTTTTCAGCACCTAATGCTACTTCCCTCCAGCAGTTGATTTGCAGAAGAAGGTGGACAGGCATGCAGTCAACTAGGAAAATCGTGACCACTTCACATCATCACTGTGTTAGCCCCCTTTTCATTCCTGAAATTTTTCTACCTTATGGTTTTAACCGTGTGGCGAAGTCGTGCTGGAACAAAAAAAAGACTAGGGTTGGGGTCGTTTGGAGACCAGTTTCCAGATCAATATGACTCCCACATTCCCTGATTTTAACCCCACCCTGGTTGACGAGTCTTCAGTACTAATATGCTGTTTCTTGAAGTGACCTGCTAAACACTTATCACAACGGGATTTCTGTAGTGCGGAACTCAGTCGTCAACTTTTTGCGTGTCTATTTTACGATCGCTCATATCTTGGAAAGTACGTGGTGGTAAGATTATCTGTTTTGGTTGCGTGGTGCACACATTAGACATCATCTTACGCGCAAACATGAAAAATGTGTGGTGTGACGAGGAAGAAGATTAATGTGACTGGGGAAAGTACCACTGGGGGAAAGAATTAAGAAAATCGACGTAAATGGAAGCATCACTTCTCTCAGTTCAATTAGATCGCCTTGAATTGTAATATACAGCAGCACAGCAGAAGATGTTGCGGCGCATTTGGGGAAGTGAAGCATGAGCGGAACTCAACAGTGCTTATGTGTTCCTTCCACTTATCTAGGCTTAACCTTGGTTAGCATTCCCTATCTAAGGTTTGGGCTGTGTGAAGGAGCGTAACCGGTCACGTCATCCTTTACACTGAGTTTTTGCCACTGTCCGAGCCATTGGGGTATGCCAAGGTCTACATTTAATAGGAATGATGAACCTATGGACAGCGCTCCAAATGTTTTATGAGTTCCGATGGTACCGCAAATCCTTTTCAAAGTTTTGTTTGTGGAAGGTCCAACTTTTATGAGTTACGCATTCGAATTTTTTTTGGAAGAGTCACATCCGCTTAAATGCAGCGAACTACAAACTGTATTGACTAAAGCAATTCTGAAGGACTCGGGTAGATCAATAAGACATGTCTACCGTTCCATGGTGAGATATACCGCTTGCGGGATGACAGTGACCTTATCTATCGGAAGACTTGCACGATTCTCGAGGCTTTTCTTCCCTGTGACAATTTCTCGGGCACCTATGGTTGTCCGCGCTCTAAGCCGAAGCCTAGATTAGGAAGGGTATTAAGGTGGCCTCCCATCGAATTACCAGTGATTTAGGCGGCCTTATGTGGTCCACCTCATTACATGCAGGAACAGCGAAATAATGGTAAGGAATATATGACGCGCGAGAATCACGAATGAGCCAAGCAGAGAAAATTCTGGGCTGTCAGATACGACCCCCGTTGTGCCTTGTACAATGGATGGTGAGTCTTGCCTGCAATGGCTGTCAAAACTTCTTCATAGGTTTACGAACAGGAATCAAGTTTGCATATCATCCCATTTACTTCTACTGACTTACATTTCTATTTGTGGCGAATGAAATCAGCGTACTCATCGAAGTCACTTACTGTCAACAATTCTCTAATTTGTCAAGTGTGGTTTCCATCAATCAGCTTGCTCGAAGGAGAATATTGGGGTGTTACTGAAACTATAAAGTAGCGCTTCCTGTTCTACACCACTCCGAAGTTGGTGTTTGCGTCCGATTTCTGATTTCTCCATTCGATCCGAACACTCGCATCAATTTTCCCTTCTGCTACGCCATACAAACCAAGCACGACCCCTTAATTTCGCATGTTTGCGCGTGGGATGTTGTGTAGTGTGTGCACTGCGCAACCAGTACAATTCATTTTACGACCAAGTACTTTCCACGATATAAATGCGATCGGAACGGACAGACAAAGAGGAGAGAGAGCTAGAGACGCAGTGGTCCAGAGAGGCGACGCGCCGCGGTACTGCTACGCGCTCTGCCCGCGCGTATCACCCATTTGCGGCGTCCATTTCGTCGGGCCAGCCCCTACTGGTCGGTAGCGTTTCACACCCAGCGGTGTGCACCTCCCCTTCTTGCCATCCGTCACCCCCCCCTCACCGGTTTTGAATCTTTTTTCAGCAGCTTCAGGGCGCGGGGCGCTGGCATATTATTCCGTCTACGTCTAACCTTTGAAGTGCAGGCCACCAAGAAGCCCCATTTGTCACTCCCCCTGCTGTGGGAATACCAGTAATTATTTGTATTTTAGGTTTCTGCCACGCGAATAGCTAGACCGCGGTGAGCTCCCCTTCTTGCCAGCCGTCACACTCGGTTTTGAACTTCAGTGCTCAGGCAGTCGCTGCATATTGCGACTGCGTTTGAAGGACAAAAGTCAGGAATCCCACTTGGGTAAGTCATTCTTGGAGCTTTTTTCAGCACCTAATGCTACTTCCCTCCAAGCATTGATGCAAAGAACGGTGGACAGGCATGCAGTCAACTAGGAAAATCGTGACCACTTCACATCATCACTGTGTTAGCCCCCTTTTCATTCCTGAAATTTTTCTACCTTATGGTTTTAACCGTGGCGAAGTTCGTGCTGGAACAAAAAAAAGACTAGGGTTGGGGTCGTTTGGAGACCAGTTTCCAGATCAATATGACTCCCACATTCCCTGATTTTAACCCCACCCTGGTTGACGAGTCTTCAGTACTAATATGCTGTTTCTTGAAGTGACCTGCTAAAAACACTTAATCGGATTTCCGTGAGGCGGAATTCAGTCGTCAACTTTTTGCGTGTCTTATTTTACACTGCGATGGTCCAGGGCTATGCTTTCGTGGTATCTACTACCCCACTAATTGAAGGGATACGGTAAAGAAGGAGAGAACAGTGATGGAAGGAAGGAAAAGAAGGAGGAGGAAGAAAAAAGGAAATAGAAAAGAGGCTTCGCGAGTTGACAAGTGAAAGAAGACGATATTTTTCAGATGCGTTGGATCCTCCAACGAAAGCATCACCGGTGATTGGATTTCACTCAAATCTTGTTAAAGCGCGTGAAATCCCGCCGAGCGTCCCCGGCGTCACCCCAGTTCCTCGGTGTTTAGTGTGTTAGTTGTGAAAGTGAATAGAGAGTTGTTTCTCCTCTCTATTCACTTTTTTTGGGTGACGTTAAACGTGAATAAGATTTTCATCGATTCCTAGCCGACTTTGCTCTGCAGTCACTATCGTTATATGCCTGGTTTAATTCGCACTAGACCTTTTCCGACTCAAGTGCCTTCTTGAACTGTTCTGAGCTTTTGCTGACGTTCGATGATTGTATTCGTTGTTCACATTTCAAAACCCTGTGAGCCAAAACAATATCAGCCTGAACTCTTCTGTAAATAAAGCTGTTTGAAATGAGCTCTTGCGATGGATCCTTGTAAGTAGGCAGGCTAATGGAGACAATTCGGATTTAGGAAGAATTGAGGATTTTTGTGAAGTTTTGCTGAATTTTTGATGTCCAAAATCTCCCTTGGCAACTATGCTGACTTCAACTCTCGTCCCTATTGGCAGGACCGTCAGCGAGCATCAACTTCGCAGCGTCAGTCAGTCGTCAAGTAGTTGACGTCAAGTACCAGCCATAAATTACTCGATGAAAACAGACAGGAATTGATACTTCATTTTCGGCAGTGGTACTCCAGAGCACATTCACGGGGTTCAGATGAAACGAGCTCGGGAATCAGATAACCGTCGTCCATTGTCCTGACAAGGAATGGATGGTTGGTTCACCTGAAAGGAGAATGCAGTGGAACCGAGGAGACTCGTTGCGATGGCAACAATCTTTTCTGATTAGATCCGGTCGTTAGAATCTGAAATTGGAATGGAATCTTCAGGAAACTCAAGGATAATTGAACAAAAAACTTCACTGTGGTCACAAATTATCGAAAATCACAGGTTATTTCTCAGAGGAGAAATTATGAGGCACTTTACTGAAGAGTTTAGTACAAAAGGCGATGAACTGTTATCTCGAATCAATAACTGAGAACCCTCGAACAGTACAGATGTTTTAGATGTTGGGCTGGAATTGACGACTAAAAAGTGGTATATGGGCCAATGTACTTTTTGTCGTTCGCGTTGAGAAGAGACTGCCCTCAATAACTATAAGTACCCACAGCAATGAAATTACTCGGAGTTACCACCAAAAACAGCCTAATAGCTCTTTCAGGTAGCTCCGTAAACTGTGGGCATAGCTTAAAGGAAAGGATCCTGCAATCATCCAACTCAAAATCTCTAGACTTTTCTCCCTAGAAGTAGAAAGTTTCGGGAAAAGAAATTAAAAAAAAGAGTACATTGTCAGAATTGTAGACTCACTACGGCTCGCATAAAACATATTTCAAAACTTCACCTTCGGAGCTTCGTCTGAAAAGACATCACTTACAAGTCGACTGAGTCGCCGATGACCACAATGAGAGAAATTCCTGAAAGAAACACGCGGTGAAAAGGAAAGCAGATAGAAGTGCAAATGAAGTGCATAATCTCGTATTCGCAGAGGATAAAGGGGCGTGCGGAGCGGGTTCTGCGCGACGCCTTTTCGCTTATTCGCTCGACGATCTCGTCGAGCGAATAAGCGAAAAGAATAGGTAGACAACGACTCGAAGCCTTTCCCTAACTCGTCTCTTTTTTACATGTCCCTTCATAACAGCCGAAACAACAACTGTCTCGAGAAAACTAAACGAATTTTCAAACACTAACCGCAGAAGACTCAATTAACTTCCGGAGTGCCACGAGTGACCGTCGCTCCATGCTCGAGGCTTGCACTGAAACGATAATCTTTCTTGTATGATGTTTACTAAATGAAAGACGTTCCTCCAACATTTTCCAATGTAGAAATCTTTGAGAGGAAAGGAAGAAATGGCAAACAAAAAGGTGTAAAGGGGCTAACCATTCAGTTTCCCTGTTGCAGTATTGTTCCACGGAACGTGAAAAATGTTATAGTTTCCCATTACTTGGCCCAGTTTTCGGAGCTCGTTAGACAACCACTCTATCTCTTCCGAACGTAATTACCTGAAAATAATGCTACCACCTCCACCAAACATGGTAATATCAGTTTGTTATGACTGCTGAAAAAAACAAATGATATATTACACATTCCCACCTGCCGCCCACCCCCCCCCCCCGAAAATCTCAAATCCGTAGAAAACACCAGATAATATGATGAAAATACGACTCCATTCTTCAATTCGGCATATGGCATGATTCCAAATAGGAGCTGCGAGCCGTGAAAATAGTAATAGAGCGCATCATGACGACGACTTGAGGGTGTGCATAGCCTTGCCCCACTAGCTATGGGTTTGCTCATGGAAACGACACACCATGAGCACCCCATATATATAATTCGCTTCGTCTGTTTGTTTGTAAGTTTGTTTGTAAGTTTGTTTGTTTGTTTGTTTGTTTGTAAGTTTGTTTGTCTGTCCGGAAATTCGGTTCGACCTGAAGAACGACTTGAGAGGTCTCTAGCAGAACGGTTCGAACACATCAGAACGGAAAAAATCACCCATATATATAATTCGCTTCGTCTGTTTGTAAGTTTGTTTGTTGTTTGTTTGTTTGTAAGTTTGTTTGTCTGTCCGGAAATTCGGTTCGACCTGAAGAACGACTTGAAGAGGTCTCTGCAGAACGGTTCCAGAACACATCAGACACCGGAAAAAAGTGGATTAAGGTCAGCAGGGGGTCGCCTGTGAAGAGTGCGGGGCACAAAAATTGAGGGCGGGTCTGCTCTGAGGTGGGCGGAGTCAGACGAAGAATTTGTAAAACAGCTCAAGAGTACTTCAGACACCGGAGAAAAGTAGAGTACAGAGCAAAAGGCGGATATCAGTTGAGTCTAGAAATATGTGAGAGAAGGTACGCGCGCCCGCCCGGCGCAGCCGGGCCGTATCAGAAGGAGCCGCGCCGGCGTCAGCCGGCGAGGCGACTGGTGTACTGATAAATAAGTAAACGAATAGGACAAAGGAACAACAGACTGACGATTATTTTAGGTGCCACAAACGACTCAGAAAAAAAAACTCGATTCTATATCAATCTAGATATAATATAAACCGCGTGAAATGCGAACTATAGCAATTTTCCGGCTCTACTACGAGAGCCAAGCGCCGACGACTCGAAGCCTCTTCCTCTGCCAAGGTTTCAGCCTAGGAATAGGCAAGAAAAAAAAAAAAAAATGCGCACCAGAGTTCTTCATGGCTTCTCTCAAGCTGCAGAGGAGAAGACTTCACCGCGTCGCCCTTCGCCCCCTCCCTCATAACTAGAGTAGCTTGGAAGTTTCGTGAGAAAGGAAACATCTGTTCTGGAACTTACTGGTTGGCGTAAACGGTGATGAGGCTACCGCGGGCGCACAGCTCACGAAACGTGGAGTGTGGACGCTGAGCACGGTGCTGAATACTAACTTTATAAGATTTAAGATTTTATATAAATTGAGTACAACACAACACCAGGGGGATCAGAGGATAACGTTCTGAGTGGTATCAATGTTCAGTGCAAGCTTCTACCAAAAAATTATCGTTGTCGTGAAATTAACGTATGTAGCCACTCACCCAACAGCCCGCAACAACTGGAGCGACCGGTCCTTGTGATCCATAAAAGATTTCTCATACCGCAAGAGCTTCTTCTAGTGCAAGTGGGAACTCCTGAAGCCCAAGTAAAGAAAACGACTTCAAAGTAGAAACAAACCCTATCAGGAAACTTACAGGACTGTTTCTGAATGAATTGAGAACCAGTGAAATGAAATGAAATGGAAAGGTAGACCATTAAAATGGAATGAAATGAAATGAAATGAGTCGTATCAGCTGTTTCCCATCAAAGCAACAACCTACAACGAACGACGCCTATTTTTGCCTGCGTTCACTGATGTGCGTCGATATTACCCGGCCCCTCCACCGCAGCGGTCGGGGTGGGGCTGTGCCGGGAATAGGGTTGGGCCAATGAGAGGGACGGCGGCGCCCTCGTCACTCGCTTTCGCGCCGTGGCACTGGCGCAATTGCTGCCCTTGCGGACCACGCTACCTGCACGCGAAGTTAGAGGGACCCTTCAAGTGAACGCGGACGCTGCCTTCAAGGAATTCGTTGCCCATGGTTACCCCACTGTATCGAAAATAGGTCGAAATCTCAGATTTGGTTGAAAACTTGCCTCTAGGGCTAATTTGAGCCTCAGAACACGAATATCACAGTTGCTCGGCTGAAAAACGCTCGCCAAGAGAGTCGCAGTTGCAGGTCCTGCACACCCTGCCCCTCCAGAGTGTGAACAAGACATTTTTAAGAAAAATACTTGCGTGATAATTTTCAGAGCACCAGACCACCTCTCATTCCAGATTTTAGCGAATTTGGGGGTTTTGGTGTGCCTCACATACATGCTGAAAATGGGTGTGACCTGGAAAATTCCTGCATATCTCTGCTCAAAGAATCGTTCAGCAGATATGGAAAGCAGATTTGAAATCAGCGTCCGAAGACGCATCAGTGAGTATACATCTTGTTTTAAATGGCCACTTCGACCAACCATCCATTCCTTGTGAGCAACGGCGACCATAGAATTTTCATAGAAGATTTTATGGCGTTCTTGCTCAAAAGTGCAATAGTCGGCGTCGAAGACAGCTGTCTGTTGAAGATTAAAAATTACTACAGATGCAGGCAGGCGGTTTGAGAAGCTCCTATAAGAACAAAACGATACAGCAGGCAGTAACACAATAAAGCAATCCCAAATAGTGATTACCTGAGCTTTTATTATGTCCTTGGATTGCAAGCTCAAACACAGCGTGGCTTCTGGTCGTCTATCGCGGCAAGGATGTTTTCGGTCTGAAGGAGTTTACAAATTTTTCATATGTTTGCTAAAAAGCAGTGGCACAAGTGCTGGAGACGGGCGGTTGTCGCTTAAGCCATTGGCGGAAGGACTGAGGTGTGACCAAACGGTCTCTCACACACCTTCCAGCATAGAGCTCACACCTGAATGTCGATCTGAATGCTAATCTTGAAGGTTTTCCAAAGAGCTCCTGCACATTTATTTTCAGGAATAACTATCCTCTAAATGACGATAGATTTCGGAGAGAAACACTACGGAGATGTGAGCACAGAAATACTAACAATAGTGTCTGTCATCCAGACCCAACAGCTCACTGTCGCTTGAGAGATACTCCTGCTCTCACTCCACATATCTTCTCAAAAGTCTAGCTCTCACTCCACATATCTTCTCAAATGTGTACACTTCATACGGAGGGGCTGTATCTGTTTTCCATGGGAACTGCCCCCCCCCCCTTCTGCGGGCTAACGCGGACACCCCAAAGCAGGTACAACCAAGTCACATCACCAATGTTCAATATGCCATATGAATTCCGAATCAATGCTACGGCGTCCGCGGGAGCCGACGCGCACTCGTATGGCCCGGCGAGTGTGGAAAGTATGCGAGGGTCCCTGATGCAAGGACGGCATCGGGGGCAACCAGGCTAGTCCAGAAGTCCTGTAACGTTGAAAAGATCCGCGTAGCAAGTTGGAACGTTGACGGGCGCTCATGTGAGCTGGCAGAGGCACTGGAGCGTAGACGTATAGACCTGTGTGCTGTGCAGGAAACGAGATGGTCCAGCTGCAAATCAAGGGACATCGGTCGCTCTAAGGCCCTTTCTGTGTGGCAAACCAAAAACCACCAACGGAGTGGCTGTAATAGTCTCTCAACGTTTCCGGGACTCGATAGCAAGCTAGAACGCTTCGATGACCGCCTGACAAAGATCCTCAGTGTCGAACAGTTTTTGCCTACGCTCCACAAACGGGATGCTCTGTGCTATACGGTTCTGGTCCCTGCTTGAGGAGAAGACAGCTGAGATACCGTCAGAAGACGTCGTAATTGTTGCTGGTGACCTAAATGGGCACGTAGGTGCTACGAAAGACGGCTACAGCTGTCATGGTGGTTTCGGTTATGGGTCACGTAACGCCGGCGAGCGAATCCTCGAGTATGCGGAATCCCATAAGCTAGTCAAAGAATACAAAGTTTTGCGAACGTGACTCCCACCTCATCAGCTTCTACAGTGGAGGTTCCAGAACGCAGATCGACTTCGTTCTTGTTAGACACCGCGACCAAGGGCTCATCACGGATGCGAAGACTGTGCCGTACGAGACAGTTGCCACGCAACATCGCCCACTAATTCTGCACGCTAAAGATCGCAACGCCAGGTCCAAACGGGTCGAGCGATGTGGTCCCGAGAGGATCAAATGGTGGCGTTTGAAAGAAAAGGAGGCAGCTGTAATCTCTCGTATTCAACTTCCCACCGCCACGACTGTCGATGAGAGCGTTGTGCGGGGCTGAGTGCTGGCTCGCAACCAAAGAAGTCGAAGTCTGCCTTATTGTGATGGAGATGAAAATTGCAACGCTGGACGGCCGGTACCACGCGTATGGATCGTTAAAGATAGTAAAGATAGTTGGTGCTCACCCTGATCAGGCATTCGACCGGATAAATGGCGTAACAAAATCAGGAGAGCGGACCCCGCTACAGAGCGGGACAAACGCTGAAGAATAAGAAGAAGAAGAAGGATTGAATAGTTTATCGGATCTTAGTCCTTATTGGAGTGTATACGTGTCTTTGAACACTACCGAGTGGTATTTTTAAACGGTTCAGAATGTATTCATTGGAATAGCCTTCGCGGCAGGCGCGCATTTGCTATTGAAATGTATTTCCATTTTCGATACAAGCGCATGGTCGCTCACAGCAGGAATTTAAGAAAAAAAATGCAGGAGGAACCGGCAAAGTCAGTGAGGAAATGTCTGTTTGAATTATCAGGTATGTTGTAGCTAACGCTACGTGATCTGCCCAGGCAGATCAATGCGGTCAGTGGGTGGTCCAAATCGTAGCGCGGACTATAATATTCTATATGGAGTACATAAAGACTAGTTGCTTACTAGAATTCTTAGAGCTTTGCGCTCTCAACCGACCGTCGCCTCCGGCTCTCACTAAGGACCACCGTGGACGCTCTTTCTCATTTGACCGGATTAAGGAGTACGAACTCAGCTAATCCTCCCACATACGTTCTTATTGACTAATGAAGTATTGTGTTACTATTTGGCAGTGTTACTGTCCAACTCCAACTAGCGAATAGGTAGTGGTTCTCATGAAAAATGTCACTATACACCATGAATTTGGTGTATCGGACCATCAATAAAGTAGTGAGTTCGTTCAATACCGTCTTCCGCGGTAGTCCAAATTCCACGGCGATTTCTTTCTCTCACTATCGGATTTAGATTGACCGATCTTTTGCAGTAACGGACTCCTTTTTTTCTTTTTTCAAAAGGAATTTTCATTGCTCAACGATTCAATAGTGGACAAGTGTGGCAATAATGACCTCTCAATTGGCCACCTGAAAACGCTTGTTAACATGTTTCCCCAAGAAAGAAATTACAAGACACCTCGCTTGACCCCGAAATCCCGTGAAAAGATTCACAGTCTCGATAGAAGCTGGAAGAAACTATTACAATAGTAGAAATGATAACGGGTAAGGTCCTCTCAAAGCTACGAAACGACTCAACGTCCATCAAAAATTTGGAGGAGAAGCGGAGCCTCACGTTGGCAGAGATACACAAACAAGCAAAGATAACAATGTTGGATACATCACTGACGCACTACTTCATCAGAACCACCTGCACAGACGGGACAGGGGGACAGATCCTGCGCAAGGTGCATAGACTGCTATTCTTGGACGCTACCAGGCTCTAGTAGCTGATGGTGGTCTTTCCAGCAAATAACAGTGCCTGGAGTGTGAGGAACGGCGATATCCAACCAACGGGTTCGATACAAGAGAAGTGATAAAGCGGGCCGAAAGTCACATAACAATACTGGATCGCACTGTGGACGAGCTGGGTCATGAAGTAAGAAGGGCAAGCGATCTCATAAATAAAGTGAAGACCGTGCTGAAGAGCCTTACTCTCAGTAACTTCAACAGCAACGCCGAGTAAACACAACTCTTAGGCGCACGGAAGAGCAACTGAAAAAACTAGCCAGGAACGTAAAGCCAGATGAAGGCCCAACTGGAAGGCAGAAACTGGAAGATCCAGGAGATTTTGGAGACGTCGCCAACAAGATGTTGCAATATCAGATGATAGTTACCTCGACAGCTTAACAAAGGAAAACAATGAAGAAGGAATGCGATGATAACGTACGAGAACTAAAGGATCGCGAAGGAAACGTACAAGAATTGCTTGAGAAAAAACTGACACGACTGCACTTCGGTGTTAGAGTCCTACCACAAAAAAAACTCGGCAATGCCTCGAAGTTCAACTTCTTCATCGTAGTTGTTTTCTGCAAGAGGAGATGCGCCCACTCGGACTCCTCTCCGAAATACATGCATAGCGAGGAAAGTTGAAGGATCATCATCGAAGAAAGAAGGTGCCAGCTGCCTAATTCGATGCAGGAGCAACGCATTAACAAGGCAGGACATGCTCGTACTGTTCAGTCCTGGGGAAAACGACGATAAACTTTCTGATCACTAAGAACGGACACCATCGAGCTCTTTGCTCAGTGCCGGATTCGAGGGAGCGTGTCAGTACGGGATGCCCGGACCAAGCTGGAACAACTCGATGGCAAACAGATCGATGTGCCTGGGAGTG